TAGCATTTCGCGGTTTGGGCTTTCACTTCTGTTCATATGAAAGCACGAGAGAGAGTGCAAAAAAAATCATACAGTATACTATCCCTTCAACGCTTCAAGTGTAAAATTGCATATAACTCAATAACATGGGCTCTAGCGTAGTATGCACTATGCACAGAATGGTCTCATCCATATAGAATACTGCAAATTGGAATACAACGTCTTTGATTTTTAACTGTTACTTTTACCTGATTTAATAACTTTATTTGTTTAATTTTAAAACTACCAACTATTATACAAAACTAAGAGAATTCGAAACTTATTCGATATTCGAAAAAAAGAAAACTAAATTGTTTAAAAAAACAGCCTACGCCACTGCATTTTACGAAATAAGTTTTACTCATTTACAATAACGGATATACGGGGGTGTCCTTAATTGCAAAATCTTCAAAAATTCCCTGTAGCTCGAAATCGAAGGGTATATGAACATTTTATTTACAGAATCTTCCGTTTGACAAAAAAGTACGACAAGTTTGTGCAAACCGCATCCTTCTATCTTTAGTAATATCGGAGATGTAGAATGTTTAGCAGGGAGTTAATCACCGCGACCTTACAGATCTATTTTATGTTCCCCTTTCTTGAATTATAGCAGGTTATAACTCATCGTACAGTCTCAATGCTTTGACAAAAGCCAGTATCTGAGACGGCTCCAGAGAGACCAGCTCTCCATCTTCGATATCAGCCATACCAAAGGTTATGGCATGAACAGTTGTCGTCTCGGCACACTCAGTGTTATGGTGTTCTCGTCTTTCCCCATTTTCTTCACAAAATCTGCATTCGCCACGAAACCCCGTGATCCCAATCCGAAGATTGTTCTTATTTAAATCAAGGAAAATCTTTGATTTTTCTCGGTTGTAATTTCTAAGGAGTAATATCGGAGATAGGTTGTAGATTTCAACCAAAATGGGACGAGATACGATTATATATACCATATTTTCGATTATAAATTATAATTGTCCACCATTATTTTTTTAATAAAATGAACAGATAGGCAAAACTTTTGCTTTAACTAATGTGATCTTATTTCGCCATGGTATGAGAAAGAATAGAGTAATTATTGATATAGAAAACTACGAGTGAAATCGCAACCGAAGGTTAAAAGTGAGCGTGAATAAAAAATCACGTTCACATGCATATCTGTGAATATAATGAATATGTTAAAAAATCATTAACAACGACACACGGAAAAACCAGAAACGTCTCCCATTTAAATAAGTCTAAAATATTAGAAAAACAAAAAATCTTTAAATAAAACAAGGTTTTCAGACGGCATGAGACTCCAAAAAGCACTAAAACATAACTATAATTGGTTCTGTTCTGTTCTGCTCTATTCATCAGGTAGTGTAAAATTATTTAGGACCCATTGTACCCCTTATGCCCCTCAAGACTCACGTCATCTTAGCCACCAACAATTAAATTTTATAAAAAAAGCTAAAATGTGACTAATGGGTAACTTGACCACAGCCATGCCAGGGCTCGAAATCTGGAACTTCGACATAAAAACATTACGCTTTTAAAGCGGTAAGCGAAAGTCTTCGATTAGTGGAACGCCAAGCAGTCGATTTTGGTATTCTCGTTGCCGTGCGAATCGTTTTCTGGATATGTGTTGAGCCAACAACTCCTATGTTGAGCACATATTGGCAGCATCGCAATTTCTCAGGTATCTAATAATTTGCTAATAGTCAAATGTGGATAAAACGTCAATATTACGGAAATTTCATAACCTATTACTGAATTATGCCAACCTATTTTTTTATAAATATGTCATTATTCTTATTATACGAGGGAAGTACTGAAGACGCTTCTTAGCATTTTTGATGTTTTGAGCAATATTTATAGCTACCAAGTCGTAAATTATCAATTAGTTACTGAGGAATTTATATAAGAAGAAGTAGTTTTTACTAAAGAGCAATAAAACGCACAAAATCACATTTTTTTCGACAGTTCGACAAGCAAAACGATCTTTTAGGTAGCCGTTTTCGAATGGCTTAGCACAATGGGTAAAGACGCTCAGCGCATCAAATTAGAATAACCAAATCGGTAGTTAATTGCGCGCTAAGCAAAAATTAACGTCACATACGCTGAGCGTCTAAAAGTGCTTAGTGTCTTTAAGTTACAGAATTGGGTCCAGACCGATAAGAGCGCCCCTTCACAGTAGGTGATGAGCTGTTTTCCCTTGGTTTTCATATCTCTTCTAGAATAGTGTGTTAACTGAGCTTCATTTTATAAAGGTGTGGTTTGGTTTGGAATACCAAAACCAGTTCTAAGACATCGCCAAAAATGTTATAGTTGCTTTCTTATTCTTATATTATTCACAACTGTCTGTTTCATTTTTCATTAACTGGTAAAATAACAACATTACATTTAATCTACACGGGATGATATTTAATGTATTGCTTCATTTACAATTCATACAACAACATATTTAAAACCCTTAAACTAAATCGTCCAATCTATCGATTCTGTCCGCATCAATTATGAACGAGTCAATTCCGTCTCTCAAAAAAGAAATTTATCGAGTCATACCCTGCCGTCCCCAATACACACACGCAAACTGGTGCTCCTCCACCCTCAGGAATCGGCGGCCGGCAGGAACGACGCCCGCGGCAGGCAGGAGCAGAGGCAGCGGCTGCTGTAGTAGCGTGGCACGACGGCAGGAGATCGGCATCAGCCGAAGCACAGCCGCCTCTCCCTGACGTTTAATCTAGAAAATTGCCCGCCGCCTCTCGTTTATTTCCATTACTGTCAACTCTTCGGCTGCCGTCGGCCGTGGAGAGTCCCGGCCCGCATGGCATGTTGTCATGGAAAAAGGATGTTCGCTTTATTTGAATATACTAACTACTATTACTTTATTATTTAACGTTAGGTGGAGATAGCGACTCTTAACAATTTAAAATATTGCATATTATAACTGTAACTGATTGAAAATATTGCAATAATTATGGAGGCATGATAAACGTATTTCACAATTCACGTTAACCAGGTTATATCACGTTACGGTAGTTATGGTCATCAAGAACAAAGTCTATGGGTCTAGGAGTTGGGTCCTCAAAGAACGTTGATGGTGGTATGGGTTGGCCAGCGTAGAACGAAGGACTTGCTCATTAACATAGATACGATATTAGACCGCAAAAGGCCGTGAAATACATGGATGTATGGCTGGATTCCGGAATGAGGATGACAACACACATAGCTGAGACGCGGAAGAGAGAGTGTCAGTTATCACTAGACAACTAAGGAGGATTACATCTAATATTGGTGGGCCTCGAGCTTCGAAAAGAAAGGTCCTGGCCATGGTCGTGCATTTCACCACATTGTACACGTCCCCAATTTGGGAGAGAACCATTAAAATAAACATTATGAAGCAATGCTGGAAAGAATGAATAGACGCATGGCCCTGCGTATCACCTCCGTATATCGCACTAGTCCAACCCAAGCGGTACTATTGCTCGCCAAAATCCCACCGATTGCCCTTCTGGTAGAAGAAAGTTGATTTATAAAAATGGGAAAGACTTCCGTCCGAGAGCCAGAAGAATTATCATGGAAAATGGCAAACAAGATGAGTAGAATACAATGCATGGACTAAGATTTTCATAAATAACGTTAAAGAATAGACAAACAATAATCAGGTCCAGGTAGCCTATTTTGTGATTTAAGCGTTGACTGGGCACGGGGTATTTGGTAAATACCTGTCGAGGATTGGCAAGGAGGCTTCTCTCATTTGTTGGTATTGTGATGCTCTCTACGCACATGTACTCTACATGCTCTTTGACTGTGGAGAATTCACATACATACGTTTACACGCTGAACTTGTATGTCAGGAATCCATAACTAGTGAGAACGTTGGAGACCTTGTGATGGAGTCGGAGAAATCTAAGGCTGTCTGGAAAATGTTGAGAGACATAATGAAAAGGAAACAGTTGGACGAAAGAGGCCGGACAATGGCCTCTCCTGAAGAAATGCCCCCAGGGCGGTACCGAGATGGGTCAACTTAGAGTACAGATGGGTTTTTAGAGGGTAGGATTCGGGTTAGACGTGAGCCCCACGCCCCGGCCCTAAATGGCTTTTCTTATCTTTAAAAAAAAGGTAATATCACGTTAAGGTTATATCAAATAAGCCCTAAAAATATAAAGTAAACAACTAACTAACTGTAAACTAAAGAGAATAAAAAGTAGGAATGAAAAATTATTAAAATAGGTCTGAAATTTTTGTCTGTTTTAGTACAATATGATCGAAAAAAAGGCGTTAGCAATGGCTACAAAATAAAGATCGCATGTAAATTACACGAAAAATTTATGCATTTCCAAGCGAACGGATGCTTTTTTGTATTTTGCATAACAACATTTTCTCTTAATTGTTATGGCTCTATATCATTGTTAACGTCAACATCATTCTCTCCACCCAATGATCCGCTATTCTTGAAACAATTTAGCATTAACTAAGTAAACTTCATTATCGACTCAGGTTCAGACATATTTCCTTCTACTTTCTCATCAGTTTTATATTTCCCCTTTGACCGGTACCAAATTATTCGTAAAAAATGCTTTTTCGCAATATGCTAATGAGCCACCCTCGTTCCATTTGAATAAATTGAGTTATGATTAAAAATACGATTTGGGCATCTTTTAACAGACCAAGACAAGACACGAAAAACATTACACGATCAAATCTGTTTTTCCATGCTGGTTGATTAAACATTAGTGTTTTTAATATGGTTTAATTAAAAACACATTTTTAACAAGTGATTTTAATCAAGAACATCAAAAATTGGTATATGATAGTCATTCTATTCAGAATGTCTGTATTTTCTGTCGAATAAAATAAAAAAATACCGAGGGTGCCATTTAAAAATCAAAAGTTAGAGTCAGTTCCGGTGAAACAGGAAATATATAATAAATAATAATATAAATAGTTCATAGTTATTTAGATAAGAGATTGATAGTATAAATATTGAGACTAACCGTTATGTATTGGTTTAATGTCGATTCCATTCGACGAATGATGGCTGGATAAACTGCTGGTGTTGGAATTTGGCGTCGTGCTTACGCTAGAATGAGGCGATCCAGGTTTTACGTCTTTCTGAAGTACCTGCCCGCTCTTCGTCGTCGTGCCTGCAGTTTCCGCTTTTATCGATGGAGGGTTCGGACTTTCGGCGCTGTTGCCGCTCTGGTTCTGGTTGGAGGCTTTTTGCTGGGCTAAACGTTCCTGCTTCCGGAATTTGGCTCTTCTGTTTTGAAACCAGACCTGAAATTTTGATACTTTAAAAAATGTTCCATTGTTATAAAATAACTTTTCGAGAAGAATAAAATAATCAATTTTAATTTAGCTCGAAAGCTATAGGGCGTTTTAATAAATATGTACTATCTCTCGTGGGGATATTTCTGATGTAAAACGAATATTTATTTTTTATATCAACTTATATAAAAGATATATCAACAAGATATATCAACTTATACAAAGTGTCGACATATCCATCAGGGACGTGCATATGTGTTATCACTGGAATATTTTTCTAACAAAAAGCATGTACGCCACTGACTCTTTTCCACTTTATAGCAAAATTGTGAAGGCCGTTTAATGCCGATTAAAAGTTGTATCTCGAAATTTTGTCGATTTCGATCCCCTTGGTGAGATAAGCAAAAAAATTTTAATCACAATTAATAATAAAATAAAAATAATAAATTATTTATTTATTCTAATTTATTATTAAATTTTATAAAAATTTATAACACTGATGTTTAGTGCTACCTACGGCAAATTCCAATAAAAAATAATGGTATTTACGATTATTAAAAAAAGAATACCATGTTACTTTATTTCCGCACCCATGTTTATAGGAACTTTTTTGCTTATTTTTTGATAAGGAATCAATGAGTTACTTATTTAACACATTGGCCCACTTAATAATATTAAAAATGTTTGAAGGCTGCTGTTAGACCTGGATTAAGTCAAATTAATAAAATTGCGTTTATCTTATCAAGGATATCGAAATCGACAAGATATTTACATTAAACGGCCAATACAATTTTGCTAACAAAAGAAAAAGCCAGTGGCGCTCCATGTTTGTTTTCTTAGAAAAATATTCCATTGATAACCCATATGCAGGTCGCTAGTGGATATGTCGACACTTTTTTAGCATTAAAATATGTCGCACCTATAGTAACTAACTTTTACCCTCAAAATTTAATTCAAATTGCTAAAAACACTTGGAAGAAAATTAAAACAAATCGAAAAAAAAAATAATACTAACAAAGCAGAATCGGACCTATGTTGATGTAAACAATAAATTTAAATTTTACGTGAGAAATCTCCCCACGAGTTTTAACGCATGTTTTTGAAACACCGAAAATCTAATTTTATTTTGTCATTTTCTTATTTAACATGAAAAACAGTAAAAAGTTAACACTCAAATATCAAAAAATACTAAAAATCTCACTAAAATATCTGTTTCATCCACGGTTTCATCTTATAAATTTATATTTGTTTTTATATCCTTATATGATATTTATTTAGAAATTGAAAGAACAAACCTTAAGATGTATTATGAATGTATTAGAAAAATGGCGATAGACACGCAATTGAACAAAAGGTTTTAAGCCGATAGACTGAATCGGATTATAAGTTGCCAATATACTAAAGGTTCGCAAAGATTAGTTTTGGGTCGAGATTTCCGTACATAAAGGCGCATTCTCACGACTTGTGTACTTGACAAACATTTGTTATTGGAATATACTTGCCATGTCGTGAGAACGGTTTCCTTGGTCACTCGTCGTGTCCCCACTCTCTGTCGGTAAACATAGCCTGAGTCAAACGATTAATCGTACAATTGCCAAGTGTACTTCGCCAGCCTTGTTTACACTTGCCGAGGCGCAAAAAAACGAATGCGCAAATAATTATACTGTTATAGGTGCATACGTATGTGACATATGTCCGATTTATTTCCGGATCGTAGTGTTTTTCGAGTTAACTGCGGATAATTTAAAACGTTAAAACAATAATAGATTATGTAATATCAAATTTACATTAATAACTTTAATATTGGCGGCATCTAAATAGTTCCCACATCAATAAATGGAGTGGACAAATGAAGACTACACGGGAAAAACCAGATATGTCACATTTTCATAGAAATTAAGATAGCGACGTTGAGCGATACAACTTTATGGATAAATGTTAACGTCATTCGAGAAAAAAGAAAGCAATAATACGCTTAGTCCCAGCGATATTACAGCTTGGTTATTTTGCCGTACAAAGGAAAAACCAGAGTAGTCCACGCGTAAATGACAAAAACCAGAGATGTACTGACGCATGGGCGACAAGCATGCATCTTGCAATTAGTATTATATGTTATAAATGTATGTATTTTAATAAAAACATACTTAAATGGATATCCCTTTAATTGGACATCCCTGGTTTTCCCCTGTTTTGTTTTGCATTTTGACATTTTTATTTCGATATTTCAGAATATGGCGATAATTCACAATATTAATTGTTCAGAATTGGTAGTAATATATATTTTTCTAATTATTCAACCGAAAATAACATATTTCTTTAAAAACACTAAATTGCATTTTTCTCGGCTCCATTTAAAATGGACAAAACCGGGTTTTCCCGTGTAGTCTTCAAATGATGTTATTTTGGAATTTATGGTTTTATACGAAAATGAGCCCTTCATATGGATGGCCAAACATAAAGAATATAGAAATCGTATTGTAGTGTACAGTAAAAGAAATCGTATTGTAGTGTACAGTAAAAGAAAGAAAAAAAAAAGAATCACTAGCAACGACAATTTCGGGACGACCATCGATGCTACTATAGTGTTTACTTACCAAGGATTTAAACTATGTTTGTGCTGGCGTACTTGTTGAAATGGACACGTCGTGTGAGTGCCTCACTTGCCGATGTTGTTTACAAAGTGGGGACTGGTGGGGATACTTGCCAAGTACGCCAATATTGGCGTACTTGCCAAATACACCAGTCGTAAGAATGCGCCTTAAGAAGAGTACAATGCGTTTATAATGTACTGAACAAAGAGAGAAAGTAAAAACGTTGTCAAACGTATGAAATAAACCGAGAAATTATGCACATTACTAAGAGACGTGGAAGGGAATAAACAGATTCGTCGCGGTCGACCGGTCAATCCAATCAGTACTCGGTACTTAAAGTTCTAGGAAAGTGTGTACATCATGAGTTGAACTTCACGATTTAATTATGTCTCGTAATACTCTTTTTGTTTATTTATTAACGAGTCATAATTTTCCATATAGCTTATAAATTTTTAAGTGCAAGTTAGAAACTCTTGCACTTTTGGTAAAAATAAGTGGATTTAAGTTGGTGTTCGACAGTGGTCGCGCTATTAGAACTCTGAATTCAAAAATCGATATCTCGAAAAATTTTAGAAACAATTGATTATAATTTTTTCAAAAACGTTCTTAATATTTCTCGAGATATGTCTGCTATATTTTCTTCAGATAGTTCAGATCTCGGTTCAGATAATATGTGAAAATCTTTTTAAATTTTAAAAAAGTTACATGATTGCTGAAAATTGCTACACACTAAAAGGGAATGGATGGCTTTTTTAATTTTTGAATGGAAAAAAACAAGACTATCGATTTTTTCTTATTTAAACATCTTAAAAGATCCGAACTTCAAAATAAAAACAAGTTTCAATATCTAAAGTGATTTTTGAGTTATCGCATGTTATGTGTTAAAAAGTTGAGTTTTTAAATTATGGCGATTACTGACGTTCTCTCGTTATAAAACGGACACCCTAACCATATCCTTATAATTCCATTTCAGATGCTCAGAAACATATCTAATGATTTTATCTAGTAACCTTTTCGAAAAAAAAGTATTTTAAGAACTAGCGGTTTTACTTGATAGGGAAAGGCGTACCGGAGAAATGTGGCGACGCCGCAACAGTACACCGTCGCATTTCTCTCACACCGACTTAATAATAAGATCCCTATGCGACTTACTTCCTCACATGTAAATACCGTCCCAAATACAAGAGTTTCCAGCACGGAATACGTAGTCATTTATAGTTTTTCTGCTATTAGCTAAGATGCTAAGTTTTTATTACCCTGTACAAATAAAAAAGGACCCGAAAAGAATATAACTAAAAATACCAGTTACTTAATCTATAAAAAATAAAAAGATGTGATTAATGTCAGATTTGTTAAATCGTCTTACAGCGCTTTCAGATGGGGGGAGCGTCCACGACGGACCGTCCGCGACTTCGAGCAAGTACCATGACTTTATATGAACAATTTCACATGGGTCGCGTATGCTCCGTCCGGACGAGCTATGTTGAAAAAAAACATCCGCGCGGACGGTCCGCTCCATCTGAAAGCGCTGTTAATGTATACGTTGACTATTAGTAAATATGCTGACTTTAAGAAAAAATATAATTAATTTAAAAAAGAAGATTTTAATCTCTTATATTTATTTATTTTTAACTTCATCTCTAGTTATTTATGCATTATATTATTATTAATAATAATAATAAATTAAGTAGCTAAATAAGCGTAATTTTACAATATAATAAATTTTCCTCAAAATAGAAAAATCAAACTTTTTTTAAGTAAAATTAAAAGAAAGTAAAATTTTACTTTCATAATATGTTAATTTCTATATCAATAAAGCATATTGTGTCAAACATGCATTGAATTATAAGTGAAATTTGTCAAAGATAAATGAATATAATTGGAATTTCTAAATATTTTCGTTTCTGTTCTAAACATGTTATTACATTCATAGATTCGATTTTATTTTACGGTTCTTTCAACACACGAGTCACAACAATTAAAACTACTTTGTGTTTATATGTTACTGGCCATCATCCAATTTTTTAGATTACAGCCAACAAACCAAAAAAAACTGTCGTTTCAGGTAATACACATTATAAACTAGTTATTTTCCTGGCTTCTACAATTTTGTGGAGACAGAAAAAAATACTTGTTTTTTTGTTTCTTCTTTTTATTAACGACATTGCTAACATAAACATCGGTGGTGAAAAATGTTTTTTAGCGGACGACACTAGCTTCACGTCACGGCACTTCATAGGATTATATCAAATGACTTAATCACCATTAAATCTTGGTGCGATTCGAACCTTCTGAGTCTCAACATTTCTAAAACTAAAGCTGTGTCGTATAAAAACTCGCTGCAGCCTTTTGTACTTAACAACACCACCATTGATGTCGTAAACTCTGTAAAATTCTTAGGGCTTGTTGTAGACAATTCTCTGAAATGGGACATGCATATCGACACTTTTTCGAAAAAAGTATGCTCTGCCTGTTTTGCATTAAGATCTGTTTCTAAGGAGCTTAACTTGTCAGTGGCTAGAACTGTTTATTATGCACTTTTTGAGTCGCACCTCAGATATGCCCTTCTATTCTGGGGTACGTGTTGTGCCACTCAATTTGGCCGCATTTTCAAGCTCCAGAAGAGAGCTGTTCGATATTCACTGCAACTAAACAGCAGAACTCATTGCCAGGACTTTTAGGTACATTCAGGCTGAGAGCGTCGAGCGTCGTGTCGCGTTTGCGTCGTGTCCGCCCCATTGAACTCGAACCCCGACGCTCAGCGGACGCTAGCGCAACGCCAAACGCGACGCTGCACGCTGTTTGCCTGAACAACTCTATGGCCTGAACGGTCTAATTTAAGTTAAGTGATTTGATTCCGCTCTCACCGCTGATTTGATTCCGCTCTCAGAATGTACGTAAGCATGTATCAGCTTCTCAAGAAAGGCCATCTCACACTTATCCACTCAGGAACGCGGAGCAAGATCTTTAAGATCTTTATCTACCTACCCCACGCTCAGAGTTAGTTAAAAGTTCAATATTACCTGCCATTTGAAATCAAATCCATAACATTATTTTCTTCATTTCGCGCAAAGCATTGAAATCTTATTTACTAAGACAAGGCTTTCTACACCGTAAATGACTTATATTTTGATAATCGAATTTGATCTTGTAAACACTGGTCTAAGTTTGCTATTACTATATTTACCAGTGACATCGAAATGGATTTATCTAGAGGTCATTGATATTTAGTATAAACTTACTAAATATTTTTGAATCTTACTTTTATTGTTTTATTCTTTGACATTGTAAACATTTATAAATGTTTACTTTAAACAATAAGACTGACAATGTTATTTGTATAATGTTTTGTATTTTCTTCTCTCTTTTGTTTGTTTGTTTGTTTACTTTGTGTGTTTACTTTACCTTTGTCTACAAATTGTAATTTTTTTTATAATAAAGGCATTTATTTATTTATTATTATTTTTATTATTTAAATAAAAATATTTATGTATCTAAATAGAGCGACCAACGAGCCTCCACCTCAAGGAAGGCAATGGCAAACCACCTTGAGTATATTTGCCTTGTACAGCCTCTCAGATAGTGCCGTTCGGATTCGGCGATAAACTGTAGGTCCCGTGTACTTGTGAAACACTGATGACACACATCACAAGTACATGCGAGAGGTAGCCGACGCTCTATATAGAGTATGGCACTGTAAGAAGAATTTATTTATTTATTTGTTTTGAATACATGAAACAGAAATAAAAAATTAATGAAAATAAACAATATTATATTTTATATACCGGGTGGTACATCCGCGTTGGAAACATAGAAACTGTCCAAATATCGGCTCATCTATTGATTTTACAGCGAAGTTGTAAATAGATTTTTAAAGACCTGGCCATGCTGAAGACGCATGCCAATTTGAATGATTTTGGACAAACCGTTTTTAACTAATTGAAGAAAAAATTAATCTAATTTTAAATTAAAACTGAACAGGTAACAATGTAAAACCAGGCAAATGAAGAAATATACCTTAAGTTGTCAACTAATAATTTTGTTAATGTCAAATTATATTTTCTAAAGACTTTGTGTCTAATTTGAAGTTTTAAATTACAAAAATATATTGAGGCACATTTAACCGTAGGTACTATAACATAGTAGCACAGATAGCACAACAAATTGCATTCAACCGTAGGTTGACAACTTAAGGTATATGTTGATATTACCCGGGTTTTGCATTGTTTACCAGTTGTAATTTAAAAATGAATGCAGTTTTTCACAAATTTGTTAAAAACGGTTTTTCCAAAATTGTTCAGATTGGACAAGTGTATTCATGTGCAGAACTTTAATAACCTTATTTACAACTTCCATGTAAAGTTAAGGTGAGCCAATATTTTCAGAGTTCAAAATATGCATGGGATTTCCTATGTTTCCAACGCCGATGCACCACCCGGTATATATGCCAGTAATAAACTAAAATACAGATAATATATAAATAATTTGATCTTATACAGGGTATAACTGCAAATATTTTAGGGGTAGTATATTTACAAAGTCCAGAAACATGATTATGAGATTTATTTTCGCGAAAAAAAATATTTGAATTTTTTTTGAATTTTTTGATTTTTTTTTTTTAGTTTTTAGTTTAAAAACATAATTTTTTGATATGACAACATAAGTAGTAGATTAAATTTACAAGAAAAAAAAACAGAAAAGATCCAGTGGTTCTCAAAATTTAATTATTTTTTTTGGAAATTTTCTAATAAAGTAAAAGAGCAAATAAGTCCAAAATAACTCGGTTATTTTGGACTTATTTGATAAATGGTAAAGAGAAAATATGTTTCTTCTATCGAAATCTACCTGCCCTGAAAATATTTGCACTTATTTAAGACTCATCCTGTGTATATTCGGAATATGGCTGAAAACTATATCAATATTAAGGTACCATTTTTTTAACGCATTCCTACTATACTGGCATCAAAAAAATATGATTTTAAATTAAGTACCTATATGTCGTAGGTGTATCGAATAATTCGGCATTTTGTAAAAATACTAGGTATATTATAAAATGTCGACATTTAAAAAAAGGAAATTTTACAAAGAGCCTATCTGTTTTCAGTCGTTTTGCAAAATGCCTAATCAAAATTAGGCTTATTAAACAACGATGATATTTGCTATACATTTCTGCAAAAAGAACGCTTGTTTTCAGTCGTTCTTCAAAATGCCTAATGAGGGCTAGTCAAATTGCTCAAAACATTTTTCGCATGCTTTGTATAACTAGCCTTTTTGAAACCAATAATATTAGAAAATAGAGATACATTACACTTTCCTACTAATTCATTAAATGATTATACTGCAAATACGTCGATTTTTTTTATCCGGAAGTTGTAATGGTTCATGCGAAAGGACAACAAAAACTTGTTTTATTGTCAAAAAAAAAGTAGTAGTATCTGTTTCAGTACAATTAGGCAAAAAAGGGAAGAGCGTAAAAAACAAAGCGAGGCCCGATGTTATTTGCACAACAATTTACAATAATTGCACGAGTCCGCTGGCAGCCGATAAATAAAAGCAGAATTGATTAAGCTGATTGCCGCCTGCGGCTCTCTTTTAGGATAAATAAAAGCTGGAATAAAATTGCGATGTCACGCTAGTTTTCCGTATAAACAATATGTTGAAAATAACATTTTCCATTTAGAATTTTCAAGCGAAATTCGTCTATCGTAAAATGATAATTTGGTAAACAAATTAAAACTTAAGAACAAAGTACTTGTATAGATAAAAATAGGATGAAAAGTTATTAATAAAAGTTCTAGGGGTTGAAAAACTACAACACGTTACCAAATTTTATCTCAGTACCTAAATGTACAGGGATTGGTAAAAGATTTCTCTCCATATAAAATACCATTTACTCTAAATTAACTTAATTTTTTTTTAATAACTTTTAAATCCTTTTTTTACCTTTACGCAATTTCATTACTTCCCTTTTTAAATTAACCAATGGAGGCTATAAAATAAAACTCGTACACGATTAATTATTAAACTTTTTTTTTAGAAAACGAATGAAAAATAAAAAAATATTGTTGCAAAAAAAAAAAAAAATTGATAATAAAGGCAGGTTGTCAATTTAAAAAAGAACTATTCGAAAGTTTCTCCAACAACCTCTTCACATCGTTGAACTTTTTTAATAAACGCCCTATACGCGTTTCGTATTTCTTGCAACGGGATATTTTGAATCACTTGTCTAATTCTGGTTTTTAAATTATCAAGATCAGGTTCCAAATGAGTTGCATACACTTACTGGGTAAGGTAACCCCATATGTAAAAGTCCATTGCTGTAAGATCGGGACTTCTTGACGGCCAAGGAATTGGTCCATAGCGCCCAATCCAACGCCCGGGAAATTGTCGATCCAGGCATTCCCGCACAATGACATTAGAATTTTATTTTATAGCCTCCATTGGTTAATTTAGAAAGGGAAGTAATGAAATTGCGTAAAGGTAAAAAAGGATTTAAAATTTATTCAAAAAAAATTAACTTAATTTAGAGTAAATTGTATTTTATATAGAGAGGAATCTTTTACCAATCCCTGTACATTTAGGTACTGAGATAAAATTTGGTAACGTGGTGTAGTTTTTCAATCCCTAGAACTTTTATTAATAACTTTTCATCGTATTTTTACCTATACAAGTACTTTGTTCTTAGCGTTTTCCATACTTTTTAAACTTTTTAACACTCGGTATATACATTTGTAAAAATAATATGCCTGTTGGTCGTTTAAGCTCAATAAACACACGAATAAAAAAGTTTTCCCTCTTTGGGAATCAATCCGTGGACACACTGTATATCAATGGCATAAAAAGGGTTCCTATTATTTTCAAAACTAACGGCATAGACCTAATTAGTATAAGCAATAACACTAAAAGAAGAAAAACTTACAAAAAAAATATAATTTTAAACTTATTAATGATTTTAAAAGGTGTACCATTATCAATAACAAAAGTAGTAACTATAATTTCGAGGGAACATCCGTTATTTTAAAAGTGACAAATTGTTTATCAAACTAAACTGCTACACTAAATGAGACTATTTATTCGACTCTTTAAACGCAAAATATTCCAGTTCACTGCTAAGGGTCATCCAAATACACACGCGCGCATATAGCAAGTGGTCTGTGTGATTTGGCCCTTTTGATCGTTGTTGATTAGCGAGTGAAAGCGCTGTTTGGAGCTTTGAACCAAAGCGGTGTTTGTCAGGTTTTTTTTATCTTTTATAGCGAGTGTAACAAGAAATACTATTTTTGTTATTAAAGATTAACAGTTAAATATCCGAAACTAAAAACAGAAGTTTGTTCAATAAGAATTTTACATATAAACATAACTTTCAAGGCAAATTCCTAATCACGCTTTGCATCATTACGGCTTGTCTAATGGCTACACGGAATAAACAAATTGTACTAAACCCCACAATTGTAGCACTACTGTATTTTGCGTCTAAAATCGTACGAATTATCACGTTGTACCTAACTTTTATTTCTACCAATTTGTAAATCTCCAAAATAGTTAAATATGCTTGATTTTATGCAGAGAATATTCAGATTGTACTCGTTGAAATTTAAATGAAAATCATTATTACAAATGGAAGCACTGCTAACTACATACCGGGTGGTGCATCGTCGTTGGAAATATAGGAAATCTCATGCAAATTTTAAACTCTCCAAATATTGGCTCCCCTATTAATTCTACAGCTAAGTCGTAAATAGATATTTTAAAACATTTGTATTTTAAAATACCTATTTAAACAATAAAATTTTAACAAATTTTGAACAATTTTGGACAAACCAATTTTAAGTAATTTAGGAAAAACTGCATCTATTATTAAATTAGAACTGAGCAGGTAACAATGCAAAACCAAAAGGTATACCACAGTGGCTAAATCAAAATTACAGTTTATATCGGGTGGGTCTCAAAAGTGGCTTTCCCCTGTAACTTTTTTATTTGTTCAGATTTCAGAACGAGATTTGGTGTGTTATTAGTATGACATAAATTAGGATTGATTGACGTATTCAATTGTTTTCGACCACTTCCTGTTTCACCGGAAATGACCACAACTTTTGATTTTTAAATTACACCCTCGGTATTTTGTTATTTTATTCGATAGAAAATGACATGACACTCTCAATAGAATCACATATCATATGTCAACTTTTGACATTTTCATATATGGATTATTTGAAATTGCAGCATGCGGTTCATAACGACAATTTGATTTGAAATACCAAGTATGTGGTATCAACTTATTCGTGAAAATGCCTTTTCCAAATATGCTAATGAGCCACCCTCGTTCCATTTGAATAAATTGAGATATGATAAAAATACGATTTAGGTATCTTTCAACCGGCCAGTACAAGACACTAAAAACGTTAGACGATTAATATATATTTTTCCAAGACTCCTTGATTAAAAATAAGTGTTTTTAAAGCTCCGTCCTCACTGAGTCGACACTGTCGATCGACCATGTCTATCGACATTGTTGATCAACAAGTCGACAAAACTGCATCTGTCCACACCAGATTGACAGAAATATTTGTCGATCAGTCGAAATCAACATGTCTGACGAAAATGACGCCAAAGTTGCTTGTGCCACATATATTATTATCGCCAATTTCAAACTTTCAAAAGCAAACATTTACTTGCTACACATCCTCCGTCCCAGTGCCAGATTTCTTGCTCTCCTTTATTTTTTTCACTTCTCTTGCAAATTGACTCTGAAGATTTTTTTATTTTTTGTTCTCCCGCTTGCTTATCGATGTTAAATTGATTAGCAATTTGCATAAGGGCACCGTGCCTCAAGTTTCTGTTCTTATAGTTTTTGGTTTTCGAATCCCGTAGATTTTTTTTCAGTTTGTACGCCTCAATAAAGGCTATGACTTTATCGTCGTTGGAAATATAGGAAATCTCATGCAAATTTTGAACTCTCCAAATATTGGCTCGCCTATTAATTTTACACCTAAGGAGTAAATAGGTATTTTAAAACATTTGTATTTTAACATACCTATTTAAACAATAAAATTTTAACCAATTTTGGACAAACCAATTTTAAGTAATTTAGGAAAAACTGCATCTATTATTAAATTAAAACTGAGCAAAACCAAAAGGTATACCACAGTGGCTAAATCAAAATTACAGTTTATATCGGATGGGTCTCAAAAGTGGCTTTCCCCCTGTAACTTTTTTATTTTTTCAGATTTCAGAACGAGATTTGGTGTGTTATTAGTATGACATAAATTAGGATTGATTGACGTATTCAATTGTTTTCGACCACTTCCTGTTTCACCGGAAATGACCACAACTTTTGATTTTTAAATGACACCCTCGGTGTTTTGTTATTTTATTCGATAGAAAATGACACTCTCAATAGAATCACATATCATATGTCAACTTTTGACATTTTCATATATGGATTATTTGAAATTGCAACATGCGGTTAATAACGACAGTTTGATTTGAAATACCAAGTATATGGTATCAACTTATTCGTGAAAATGCCTTTTCGAAATATGCTAATGAGCCACCCTCGTTCCATTTGAAAAAATTGAGATATGATAAAAATACGATTTAGGTATCTTTTAGCCAGCCAGTACAAGACACTAAAAACGTTAGACGATTAATATATATTTTTCCAAGACTCCTTAATTAAAAATAAGTGTTTTTAAAGCTGCGTCCTCACTGAGTCGACACTGTCGATCGACCATGTCTATCGACATTGTTGATCAACAAGTCGACAAAACTGCATCTGTCCACACCAGATTGACAGAAATGTTTGTCGATCAGTCGAAATCAACATGTCTGACGAAGATGACGCAAAAGTTGCTTGTGCCGCATATGTTATTATCGCCAATTTCAAACTTTCAAAAGCAAACCATTTACTTGCTACACATCCTCCGTCCCAGTGCCAGATTTCTTGCTCTCCTTTATTTTTTTCACTTCTCTTGCAAATTGACTCTGAAGATTTTTTATTTTTTGTTCTACCGCTTGCTTATCGATGTTAAATTGATTAGCAATTTCCATAAGGGCATCGTGTCTCAAGTTTCTGTTTTTATAGTTTTTGATTTTAGAATCCCATAGATTTTTTTTCAGTTTGTATGCCTCAATAAAGGCTATGACTTTATCTTGCTGCCATTCCTTTTCTTCAACGAAAAAGCGCGGCTACAATGTCAAATAGCCAAGACGTTACTATGTATAACAGTTTGTCGAATGTCGAACGTCGAAAACAGGTCCACACACTAATGTAGATCGACTGTTCTTTGATGTTTACCGACGGACGACGGAAAATAAATCGACATGTCGATTGATTAATTCTGTCGATCGACACCGTCGATTGCCACGTACACACCAAGTCAACAGCGTCGATAGACAGGGTCGATCGACAGTGTCGACTCAGTGAGGACGCAGCTTAACACAGCCATGGAACTCTAAATTGAAATTTAAAATACAATTTTGTTTTAAGCGAAAATGTCAAAAGTTGACATATGATATGTCATTCTATTCAGAGTGTCATTTTCTATCAAATAAAGTAAAAAAATACCGAGGGTACCATTTAAAAATCTAAAGTTGTAGGCATTTCAGGAGAAACAAAGGAAATTGCCGAAAACAAATAATACGTCAATCAATTCTAATTTATGTATACTAACATACCAAACCTGTAAAAAAGTTATAGGGGTGAGCCACTTTTGAAACGCACCCAGTATATTATATTTTTTATATTATAGTTTATAAATAGATCTATTACTATTACTACTGCGTATTTTATTTTGTTTAAACAATAAAGAAACTGTTAAAAATATAATCATAAAAAATCGCAAATCGTACCATTTCATTAGTTAATCTCGATAAGTAAGGCTACAAATCCAAAGAATGAAAAGTGTTATAAATTAGGGCGCAGCGCCGAACACATCCCGTCTCGCCTTCTCTGGAAGAAAATGATACAGAAAAACAGGACAAAACCAAGGAAAATTTTAATCAACTTACCGGGGAGAGCCCCATATTTAATTAAGATTTTCTTAATTAAATATAGAAACCGTTGGAAGTTAAAATAGGTTTTGAAATTTTCTTCTGGGGAAGATTAAAATTATTATGATTAGACTTACCTAGTTGATTTAAGACTCTTAAATGTAAAAAAAAACTGTATAGAGTTTTAGTAAAACAAACTCTGCATAAAAATGAAGATATGAAACTACCCATAAATTGCCTTTTAAATTTCAATCTAAAGTCACATAGCCATAAATGTGATGACAGTTTGACTCAAAACACTAAGTATATATGGTACCAAATTATTCGTAAAAAAATTTTTTTTCCAAATATGCTAAAGAACCACCCTCCTTCCATTTGAAAAAATTGTGTTATAATTACACATCCAGGGCACTCTAGGCTGAAA